GTCGCAGACAGTTAGGCTATCCACTTGTCAGCAAGACTAATTACCTATCAGTCACCTGTGAAGAGGCAAATACAATGAACAGATGGATTCAAAATAACGAAAAAGAAAAGAGGTAGTTGTTAAGTCATTCTGTACGCATTACATTTAGACAGTCAATTCAGTACTCGCTCACGGCCACAGGTACACAGTTCCCTTTTGAGAAAATTGGTAAGTTTGAAACCAGCCATCAACGACACCAACATGGCTGCCAAGAGGGTAAGAGAAAGCAAAGCAGCGCTGCTAACTGGACCAGCAGCGAGACGCGGCTCGCCGTTCGGGGGTCGGTTAGTAGCCTTGGGTCGGGTTCAGATACTGCAAAACGTTCTACTTACTGTCTGGCTCTTCGGTACATGTCCTGGTATGCGTCATATTGCGCCCAGAACTCTTTTGAGAACAGGTGACCTGCAATAAAGCAACAACCAATTAGTAGTGTAGCGACTCTGGCTCTTATTCCGATGGGAAGAAGTTTGAGTCCCGGCAGGGGACCGACTTCCCATACACATATATTATGGTTTTCCTCAAGCCCTTCAGGCAAGTTCTAACCAATTAGATGGCTTACGGAACTCGAAGGTTCATCATCGAATTAACCAAAGCCCTCCACCGGACCCTGTCCTGGGCCAACAAAATCCAGTCTCCTTCAACTCTATCTCCCATAGATCCTGCCTGACATTATTCTCCCATCTACGTCTAGGTCTCCCCAGAGGTCTCTTGCCCTCAGGCTTCTCAACCAATACCCGGTGCACACCTCTTGTCCCATCCATGCGCGCTACATGCCCCGCCCATCTCATTCTTCTAGACTAAATCACCCTGATAATATTGGGAGAGGAGTACAAATTTCTAAGTTCATCATTATGCAGTTTTCTCCACGCCCCATCGTCTTCTCTCTTAGGCCCAAATAACCTCCTCAAACACCTGCAATCTATGTTCCTCCCTCAGAGTGAGAGACCATGTTTCGCACCCATTCAAAACAACAGGCAAAATTATTGTTTTGCGTACTTTAATCTTCATGTTCCTAGAAAATACTTTGAACTGAAAAGTAGCAAGAATTTCCGGAATTTAGTCTCCTCCTAACTTCGTCATGAATATCATTTCGATTTGTTACTGTTGTTCCCAAGTATTTGAACTTAAAACACGCCACGACCACTTTTTTTCCAATCTTTCCAACTGGTGGTGAAAAATCCTCCACCGGTAAAAGTACCGTCGACAAACAAAACAAGAGAGCGCCCGTTCAACCTAACAATAGAAGGGTATTTCGTAATAACTTTAACAACAGGGTATACTTCAACCCCGAAGAAGCAGTCAGAACGTTCCTCATAAACACAGGTAATTTTACCATCTGGACGTAGAACGATACCCTGCAAACGCTACAAATAAACCACCATCCGTGGCATCGTTCAGACATCGCCAACCAAATGCTCGCGGGCACCAGGATGCCGGCGAGAATTTAAAAATATTCATAACAATTTATAAAGTATTCGCCGACAATCGCAAAGCACGTGGTGATGCCCGTTCTATGAACTGAATCTCTGTGCAGTGTCAAGGAGTTTTAAATATATTGTGGTCAGATACCGCATTAACCAACTACATAACGGTGACATTTTCCAAGAAAATTAATTATACCTGTTCCCCATATAGGGTAGTATTGTGACATGCAGTGGCCAGAACAATTTTCGGAGCACAAAGTACCAACCTGTGAGCGACATAATTATTTTCTATTCGCATTTTGGTATATTAATAGCGTGCCTGATATGAATTCTAAACTATCTTTCACCGAAAAATAATTTCGCAACCCCCAGCATAGGTTATACATATTGTCCCAAAATTATCTAAACGAAGTGGCAGCTGAATCTTGTAAAGCAGGTAATATCCCAACATTTACCTTGAGATGCTTGAGTAAAACCACGAAGGACACGCCTGGACAGCGTGAAGCAGCGAATCGGAAATCTGCAGAATGATAAGGGTTGTATTTATTGGAGGTGCTGTGCGGTTACTTGTCACTAACCTCAGCAACGTCTGTACACAGTTGGCACGATGGGCAAAGCACGTGCCTCCGGCAGCGGCTGGTCCACTTTCCACTGTTTAAGCAACTTTCTACACGCATGTAATTCACTAACTGAGAGGTTCGGCTCTGTTCAGTGTGATGGGCATGTATCAACAATTCTTCAGGGTCATTGCCACGAGCCCGGGGTTATGGACGGACAGACGTCGCCAATAAAACAAAGCTGTTCGTACCTTCTTTACGAAACGTACAACACGCCAGGCTCTAAGAAGTGAAAGTAAGAAAAAAATTGTACAAAAGTGTCTATAACACCAGCAAGTAGAAAGTTCATTTGAACTTTCAACTTCAGGACACTCTTAAGGCTACAATGGGGGGGGGCACACATAACCGACCCTTCACAGGCCGAAATGTTAAGTGCAAGTATTTTTCGATTCTCTAGGTATTATTAAAAGCACAACGTTTCGGAAGGAGGTTGTACTTCTATCTTCAAGTAACATGTGAGTTAAAACGTCATCTGTTGGACCCTCTGATCGAACGCGGGACCGAAGATAATGGGCCAATACTTCATCAGTGGACAAAGGTAGCTTTTATATTACATCATGATAATAAAACATAACAGGTTGTAAAAGGAAACATTTTACACAATACGTTCAGCATAAGAGAATCTAAATGACATGTTAACGCGTACGTTCTTCAAAATATAACAAAATTACAATTTCACCCAGAAGTAAAACTCGTATATAATGAAAATGACAAGTTTTCTACAGAACCCAGCATGAATATGATCAATGTATAGTATATATCACGCATTCCTTTGGAGATTTTGTTGCCTTCTTCGGGCATGAAGAAACATTAATAATTCTACTGCATTAATGAGAAAACCAAGGGAGGTCTCATGTGAGGTTCCAATTGTGACCGGAATGTAAAGTTCACAATTAAACAAATAACTCGTGTCGTTTCCACTGAAAAGAAAATAAACTCGCACTTGGACTTGTTTAGATCATGGAAATCTTGTGAGACAGTTTGCACATTAGTCCATAAAGACAGACAGCGCACAGTAGCTGGTGGTACGCACCTATGGCCGCTACAGCTGGCCGTCTCTTCACACTCACGGCCAAAACTGAACTTTTACTACAAATCACAGAAATTCATCAAGTCAAACTTTCAAATGACCAAAAACACCTTGCGAATGACTCGGTGACCACAACGCGAGAAGCAATTTCTCACACAAACAAGAAACAGCAAATCTCTGCTCTTCGTTTTCTACATTATACACTTTTTTCTAACTCATTACCTACTTTGCCTTCGATGTGGTTCACTGACCTCCTTTCTATTATCTTTAAGTTTATCTGTCCTCCACTGTCCTTCTCTCGTCTCTCTTGCATGCGTGTATCTTTGCTGCCTACCACACGCCTAGCAGTGGAGGATTCAGACCGAATCCGCCGTTGGTTTCAATTCCAAACCAACCGCGATTTCGACACGTGGGCCAAAACTTGTATTTATCCAATTAAAAACTCTTTATTACCTTCGTTATCTTTAGCAATTATCTCCACACATCAAATAAATAAACGCACATGTGCTTAGAGACGGTATAAATAACCCACAATTAAAAATGCCACAAATCTGACTTCCCGGAGTATGCCGACTTGGGGGGGGGGGGGGGCCGTTTTGAAACCAGGGGGGGAAAAACAGATTGTACCTCAATACCAAGGTAAGGAAATGTAAAGTTGTCCGCTAGGCCTACGAATCGAGGGATTGAGGTGTATAGAGGGCGTAAATGTAGAACTCCATTCGCAATCTTGACACTTGATGGTGGACCGTAGTTACCTTCACGTTCTGACCGCTTTTTCTCGCTAGCAAGTGAACAGTAGGTCTGGACGAGGAACCTCACAGCGGGCGTCAGCCCCAAAAGCAAATCACACGATAAGAATCCGCCACTCACTGCACCTCTTATAATTTTCTTTGCGGTCCGCCTTTCATCTCCGACCCACGTGTTTCTCCTCATTCACATGCGACCGTGGTCCATTCAAAGGCGCGGCTCTGTGTTGTTCAAAAATAAATGATTAATACTGAGCGAGAAAGCAACACTGGTTCTGTTGGAAGTCAGACGACACATGTAACCGAGTTACTTGCCAGGCAGCAAACGCTCTCTTCGGTTGATTTAATGCTGTGTCAACTGAATAGGTTAAACAGCATCTAGTGGCAGAAGGAATGCAAGCGATAGCTCGGAAGCAAGCAGTCGTGGCCTATTTTAAGGCTTAGAGTGCCAAGATGGACAGACAGTTTCAGTCAGATCGACGCTTAATAACTTCCCGGATATCGATATCCCGTATTTTGTATTCCGACATTCAACTGCTATCTGGTGGCTGAAGTGTAAATCGAAACCAGTGGCAGAGGGGGATATACAGAACAATAATAAACGTTAAACAATCAATTCAAAAAATATCCAAACGTCTGCATATGCTGTTTCTGCAGTTAATTAAGGCCTTTTTCCAACACTGAATAAAACTATCGGCAATCTTTATGAGAGTAGCCGGTCTCCGAGTCAGTATTCAAACTAAGGACCTCAAAAATTCGGCACAGACGTGCTAACCACAATACTACGACGAGCTGTCCCTGTGTCTAAGCACCTGGTGAACCAAACCCCGATGGACAGGACGCGAAAACCGAATATCAAATCAAAGACAGCTGACAAGGGACGGTGGCTGGGCCACTGGGCACAGACTTAGCCCTTCATCATGGAAGAAACGTTATCATGAGAAAAATTCTTTCCGTATTACTCGCATGACGTCAATGGAACTTAATGGCGACACACAAACTGCAGAGGCTCAATTACGGGCTGCAAATGAGTCGCAGAGAAGGAAGTTTGAAACTTCGACAGTTTAGAAATGAGAAACAACTTTGTCAACGAGCGGCCTCCAACTGACATGCTCAAGCTCAGAACCAATTCTGAGGCGGAAAGACTTTCAAAGTGGGTATAAACTCCTGAAAACTGAGACAGTGTTTCCTCATCGACATCTGCATCGCCGTGAGAACCACAAATTTCACACGATCTGATATCACTACAGAGGCTGCATAGACTTCTGGGAACTGGCTTTTGTGAATCGGACAGAAGTCTCAGACGACGGGGAGTGTATACATTAAAATACAACCCTTACCACGCGTTCCATTGACTCACAGACTGCCGGCCTCACGTGGCCTTATCCCGGATGGAATGCAGATGGCTTCAAGGCCCACGCATAAAAACAAATGAAGCTTTCGATGCACCGGACACTTGTTTGTGATGATGGCGGCTCTATCACGGAAAGAAAACACTTTCAACTAAAACATGAAAAGATTACTAACTCGCATGCGAGAAGATAAAAATTGCATCTATGTGAGATTTCTGGTTTTTACGGTAACT